CCCCAAGGCCTCCTTCTGGGCTGAGCCATGCTGTGTGATCCCTCGGGGGAAGCCCGTGGCCCTCTGGTGTGAGGGGAGCCCAGAGGCCCAGGACTACTACCTGGATAAAGAGGGGAGGCCAGTGAACTGGGACAGACGCCCCTCAGCTGCGCCCATGAGCAGGGCCAAGTTCTCCATCCCATCTGTGACAGAGCACTATGGAGGGCGATATCGCTGTTACTACCGCAGCCCTGCTGGCTGGTCACAGCCCAGTGAGCCCCTGGAGCTGGTGGTGACAGGTGAGAGGTCGCTCAAGGTCCCAGTCCCAGGCTCTGTCCTCAGATGGGGATTTGCTCTCAAGGGAGTCCCCTCTCAGCTCAGCAATGCGTACGTGTGAGTCCTCTTCACACGCTGCCTCCCTCTCTCCTAGGAGTCTACAGCAAGCCCAGCCTCTCAGCCCTGCCCAGCCCTGTGGTCCCCTCAGGAGGGAACATCACCCTCCAGTGTGAGTCACAGAGAGGATTTGACAGGTTCATTCTGACTCAGGAAGGAGGAGACAAGCGCTCCTGGACACTGGACTCACAGTACAACAGGGGGAATTTCCAGGCTCTGTTCACTGTGGGCCCCGTGATTCCCAACCACAGCTGGACACTGAAATGCTACAGCTATGACAAGAACAACACGCAGGTGTGGTCAGAGCCCAGCGATGCCCTGCAGCTCCTAATCTCAGGTGAGAAATTGAAGGTTAATGCAGGACATTTCCAGTCACCAAACACATTGAGAGCCCGAACTTGATGGCCCCCAAGCTGACAGTGGGTGAGAGAATCTCCTGAACCTGAGACCCCTAGTGTGATACCCTCAGGGAAGGACAGAGGGCAGGGGCATGTCAGGCACCAGCCCCTCACCTGTCTCCTCCTCCCTCCAGGGCAGTCCAGGAAGCCCTCCCTCCTGACCCAGCAGAGCCCTATGTTGGCCCCTAGACACAACCTGACCCTCCAGTGTCGCTCTGACCTCAGCTATGACACATTCGCTCTGTCCAAGGAGGGGGCAGGTGACCTTCCCCAGCACCCATCCAAGCAGCCTCAGGCTGGGCTCTTTCAAGCTGACTTCCTCCTGGGCCCTGGGAACCGCTTCCGTGGGGGCCGCTACAGATGCTACGGTAGACGCAATCACTCTTCAGAGTGGTCAGCACCCAGTGACCCCCTGGACATCCTGATCCGAAGTGAGGAGCCTGGGATCCTCAGTCAGGGCTCAGTCAGGGACCCAGGTTCTGCACAGGCAATGTTGGGGGAGCTCAAGAGGAGATGCTGGTGGTGGGGTGTCAGGAAGAGAGGGAGACGGGGATGGGAGGCCAGGAGTGCAGAGTCAGAGGAGACAAAAAATGAAGATTCTCAGAGACAGGCTTGCTGAGGTCTCAGCTCAAGACAAGTTGGGATTCCTCTCACCACCTTCCTTCTGTACAGGACAGCTCCCTGCCACACCCTCTCTCTCAGTGCATCCAGGACTCACAGTGTCCTCAGGATAGAATGTGACCCTGCTGTGTCAGTCACAGAGCCCAATGGACACTTTCCTTCTGTGCAAAGATGGGGTCGGCACTCGCCCCCTGCATCTGAGATCAGAGTCCCAAGCTCAGCAATCGCAGACAGAATTCGCCATGGGAGCTGCGAGCTCTGTGCTCAGGGGCACCTACAGGTGCTATGGCTCTCGGAACTCCTCTCCATA